ATTTATGCGATAACTATATAAACTCCTGGACAAAATTAATGCAACATCATAAATTTGTCACATTTTTTATGCTATTTTTTGTTTGAATTTATGATCCGATTTGGATGATAACATGTTTTAATAGACTTTATTATTCAAAACATTCATTGTTAAATGTTTTCAAGTAGGCTTTGGACCTTTTCTGACATTTCAAGCGATGTGTCAAAATCGAATACATTATTTGTTATTTTAATCTTGAAAAATGAATCGTCCAAAAAATTTATCGACCGAATAATTATATAGCATTATAAATTCATTAATTTTATTGTTTTTGATTTATGTTCTTTTCTTGTTTCACTCGTTTCAAAAAAAATGTGTTTAATAAACTCTTAATTTTACTTTATGAAATAAGGTAATTCGTTAATTATGTTTTCATTCATCAAAGTGAGCAGGAATTATTTTGTTATACATATAACAAATAATGTATTCGATATTGATACATCACTTGAAATGTCAAAAATGGCCCATAGCCTACTTGAAAATATTTAACAATGAATGTTTTTAATAATAAAATCTATTAAAACATGTTACGCTATAAAACGGCTTATCTCCTTTAATAACAGAGATAATAAAGTAAACCAAAAAAGAAAATGTTGACAAAAGATGGATCTACCGTCTAATGTCAACTGCTATATGTCTCGTTTGTTAGTATACTCCACAGGGTGATACGAATTTTCGGAAAAAAACATTACATTTTTATTACACCCGGTATAATCGAAAAGGAACATTTTATCATAAACAGCGAAAATTATGACAATGTCAATTGTCAAGGAACCAACATATAATACAAAAAAAATCATCCAAATAGGATCATAAATTCAAACAAAAAATAGCATAAAAAATGTGGCAAATTTATGATGTTGCGTTAATTTTGTTCAGTAGTTTATTTATCATTATTATGCATTTTAAGGTACATGAAGAAAAATAACATTCATTGTGTGTGTTCAATTACATGCCGATACCCGTACAGGTCGTCAGGTTAGTAAGACATATTTATATTATACAGGGTGTCCCAATGAAAAGTAGCCCCTTTATTGAGTTAATGATTTTTAAACGCATAATCATAAAAACATGCGGTTTTCGCAGATATATTTTATTTTGCTATAACTTTTGTATCGTCTGTAGAAGAGTATATCTTTCAAAATATCTCTACGTATACGGGGTGTTCCATTTAAAAAAAAATGGGTTACTGTGTATTTAAAACGAAAGATTTTGATACAACACCCTGTGTTGGTAATGCATATTTTCTGTATTACTGTAACAAAACTTATAATAAAATAAAACATATTCGAAAAAACTGCATGTTTTTATGATTAGGCGTTTAAAAATTATAAGCTCTGTAAATGGGCTACTTTTCATTGGGACACCCTGTACTATACAGGGTGTGTCACGACGAGCTTAAACTGTTTGTATTAGCACCCTGTATATTGATATATTTTTGAAATCTACGTAAAATTTCAGGATACTTTTTCACAACACTTTTTCAAAAATGCATACTTTTTGAGTCAAAAAATTTTTTTTTGAAAAATTTGGCCGATGCAGGTCTTTGTAAATTATTTTTTTACGGGGATCCCCTTAAAGATATGGAAACGGATTCTGTTGGGGGGCTACTAGAAAGGTAAATGGTATTTGGACCTGTGTTGAAACCTTTTTATTTTATACAGGGTGTGTATAAAAATTGTACAAAGTTGAACATCAAAAATATCAAATTTCTTCATTTTTTTTTTAAATGGAACCACCAATTTTTTTCTATTTTAACGAAATCAGCAGTCAAAAATAAGGGAAGTTCATGTTTACTTCCCTATACCTAATAATTTTGAAGATATTAAAAATTTTACTTAACACTTACTTTTCTGTTTTATTCTTAAATAATTCGGTTTTACAAGTTAGCCATGTAATATCGTACAAGTAGCAAAATTAATAATCAATTAATCAAGAATAATTTACATGGCCAACTTTTAAAAGCTATTTAATTCAGAATTAGGCAGAAATGTAAGTTTTATGTAAAATATTTAATAACTTTAAAACTATTAAGTTTAGGTATAGGGAAGTAAACATGAACTTCCCTTATTTTTGACTGCTGATTTCATTAAAATAGAAAAAAATGGGTGGTTCCATTTAAAAAAATTAAGATATTTGATATTTTTGATGTTCAACTTTACGCATGTTTTGTACACACCCTGTATAAAATAAAAAGTTTTTCAACGCAGATTCAAATATCTCTGACCTTTCTTGTAGCCACCCTACAGAAACAATTTCGATATCTTTAAGAGGATTCCTGTAAAAAAATAATTTATAAGGGTCTGCATCGGTCAAATTTAAAAAAAAATTTTTCAACTCAAAAAGTATGCATTTTTGAAAAAAGTGTTTTAGACAAAAGTACCCTAAAATTTTACGTTAATTTCGAAATTATATTAATACACAGGGTGTTCCATTTGAAATAACAAAGTTGATGTCTACTTCCGGTAAAACCGGAAGTGGTACCACTGTCAAATTATTTTTAGGAGGTTCGTCTTATTGCATAACATATGTATACCAAATTTTATTAAAATCGGAAAAGTAATTTCCAATATACAGACAGTTTAAGCTCGTCGTGACACATCCTGTATGTTTCCAAAAATAATACAAACTCTTGTGTTATAAAAATTATTTCCATGAGAAATAAATTTGTTAGTCCTATTTTATTTTAAAATTTCAGCAGCAGCTTCAAATTGAAACATATTACATTGGGCAGAAAACAAAATAGACAAATAACTTTGAAAGATAAACATTTAAGTAAAGGACAACTTCATACAGTTTAAAAGATAAATTAAATTCTAAACATGATAGAGGCCTCAATCGGTCTCAAATTATGCAATCTACCGCCAAAAATTCGCAACAAATTCAAGAACACCCTGTAGTTCACCTAAATCCGGTCCTGGATGCTAATGTGTAGATAAAAATAATTTTATTGTGAATAGCGGTATGGAAATATTTAAGAATGTTCCATTTAAAACGAACTATCATATTCAGTATGGAACACCTTTTGTATATTTTTTCAAAATATTAACTTATTTATGTACCTATTATTGTTTTCTTTATGAATAGAAATTTTATTGTAATTAAAAAAAAATGTTAAAGATTTATTTACCATAAAAATAAATATACAGGTTGCTCCATTTTTGGTCGCAACATAGATTATACAGTGCATTTCTTTAATGTCCCCCCCTCCCTTTTATTTTTTGAACGGATCAACTAAGAAAATCGTAATTTGGGATAATGAAACTAATGCAAGATTACTATATTTTGGAGAAAAATTGACAGATGAAAATTTCAAGATGGCGACTGGGCGCCATCTTGGGAAATAAATTTAAATGGAAAGGGGGGTCTTGCGACCGGAGAGGTCGAGTTGTCACCCGAAATTCTAACCGGTCAGTTCTTATGGGTCGAGTTGTCACCCGTTACCTGGGGTAGGTATGGCAGGGTGCAATTATGTTTTTGATTAATCCTACTTCGTTCAAAAATCCTAAAAATTTTTTGAACGTAACAAACTTTTGTTTTTTTTTATTATTTAGGTAGATACATTAAATATTTTTTGAACTTTACATAAATATTTTATAAGATCAATATGATTCTGAAAATATTAAAATTTAAATAAACTCAAATTTCCTTTTACTTATATGTATGTAGAATTTATTTAATGAACAAACGCAAACGCAAACACAAATTTAAAAATCTAAAAGAACATTTAAAAATTTATGTACATTAGGGTGAGGCGTATAAAACGATTGATTACTTGTCGCATGGAACGATTTACATGCATTTGTTGTTCGTATTAAGGACGAAGAATGTTGACCCATACTTGAGGAGGAAATTTTGAATTGCTGTCAATGTACGTTTCCACTAAATAATCACAAAATTTTGTAACCTTATTGCAATTTGGTTTTATCTCTAAAAGTTCCAATGCAAAACGGTGTCTGCAAAACATCCACCAACTATTTCTAACCCAAAATCAAAAAAACCCACGATTATAAAGCAATTAGACCCTTATAATCTGCATCGAACGGATAACAATAGACGGGTGACAATTCGGACATGACCTTTTTTCGCACAGGTAAAATTTTGAAATTTGGGTGACAACTCGGACCTGTCCCACTGACCATCCCTGCAGTCCGGCTATGCCCCCGTGGACACACTGTATGTCCTAAACCTCTTAGTTTTCGAGCTACAGGGTGGTAACATTTTTGAAAAAAAATACTTTTATAGTATTGAAAATGGCTCATTTTTATACAAATAATGGATTGGTGGAGATGTTGATTATTTATGGAGGATTTATTTCCAATCAAAATGACGACAATTTTGAGCAGTTCCTTTAACCTTTAATAAACAGGGTCGTATTAAACAATTTTTTAATAATTAAAAATTGAAAAAAGACATGATCTCTTATTTTCCAGAATATTAAAAAAAATTACTTGAAAAAAATTGCTTAGAATTAAAAGATCTATACGCAGTTAAAAAAAAACTTTTTGGGACACGCTGTATGTAAAGTAACTGATATAATGAATTTATTCCAGTTAAAGTCTCAACTCTGTATTAACATACGGAAAGTGTGAATTAAATAGTAGGAATTGAAAAAAAATTTGATAAATTAAACTTTGCGATAATTTTTTTTAATAGAAAACCACCCATATTTTTTGTTGTTTTATTGAAACAGAGGTAAAAAATAACTGTTCATAGAATGATAGTTGATAGAATAACAGTTTCTAGAATGACAGTTGAAAGAATAACAAATCATAGAATGACAGTTGATAAGTTTAAATAAAATATATTTCTACCATGTCGTAATTTAACATTAATTATTATCAATCGAGAATCGTGGTTCTCGTTTATCTAATTTGAAATAAGAAATTGGAAATGGAAAAGGAAATGGTTGCAGTCGCAATATTTATCGGACGTTTAACGTTTATTTTTATACAGGATGCGGTTGAAATTTAATTTAAATGAATCTTTCGACATTCAAATCTGCTTTTACCGGATATGCCATAAATCAGATTTTTTTATTCCGAATATCTGCAAATGTAAAATGCATTTTATTTTTACATCAGTTTCTAATCGAATACACACACAAACGCATCGTTTCGAATTTTTTCAATTCCGATTTGAAAAATGAAGAAATTTTTGCAATTGTAAGATGACGCCCTTTTATAAATAATTCATCGAGATTAATTTTTTAATTTTTTTTTTTTAGATTTCTGCTACAATTTTTATTCCTGTTGGTTCATTCGATTGAGGATACTGACGTTTTTGTTCTCGCGAATGACAATGATAATAAAAATAATTGGTGCATTACAAACAGTACCTCAGCTATGACGATCAACAGTAATATTAGTGAAACACAGGATAGATTTCATGGTAATATTTATTTTTTTTATTTATACAGGATGAGTCACGGTATATTCCACATGCCTAATTCTTAAATAACTCGGTTTTAGAAGTTGGCCATGTAATTATCGTACGAGTACCAAAATTAATAATCAATTAATCAAGAATAATTTACATGGCCAACTTCTCGTTTTTTTTTCTCTGAATATGGTCCTGGGGATGTATCACTTAACCCTTGGGAGATTCTGGGAGGGCACAGCAAATGATTTTAATGTTCTACGTTTTACTTTAACTAAAAAGAAAAGAATGGAATAAAATGGATTTGAATCATAATACATTTACCTTTCTGTAAAAAATCACTTTCGAGAAAATGTAATGAGCACACTTTCATCGTATTCGATACACTTTTTCCGATTTTTAATGTTCATATCCACAACAATCTTCTATCAATTAGTTTCAAGTAAATCCAGGCTTAGTTTCCACAAAAAAACCTTCGATTTTCCTGCTTTCGGGAAAAGATGAAAACTTAAATTAGGATTTCGTTTGATCCAGGATGAACATTGGGGAACGCAGCAATATTGGTTCATTTTAAAAATCTCCAATAAACACAAAAAACTCTCCAAAAACACAACTAAACTAATATGTTTTGTTATAAACAATGGTTCTTAGCTCGATTCTTACACTATCCACCAGAGGGCGTATCGCTTAGCACGAATCGTCTATTGATGTAATAATTATAAGTTGTTTGAATTTTTAGAATTATCACCGAACGAAATAATTTCCATAACACAAGTAATTGTCGTACATGATGGTATTCATATCAATTGGAATTTAATTAATTGCTCAAATAGGACCGGTCCAATTTATGTTAAATCCGAGACAGTATGCATATCCGACTGGTGTGATCATTTAAACACAACCATTGTAGATCATTTTGAATACGAATCCGAAGGAAAAACATTATTTTTAAAATTACAATCCTATTGCAACTACACAATTACCCTGACGATTTCGAGGGATAAAACCAACTGGTTATTCAGCGATTCGAATACTTTCATGTCAAATCTAAAACGTAAGTGGAGCTTATACAGGAGGGTGTCCCCAACCTTTGTGCGACACACTGTATACAGGGTGTCCCACGACGAGTTAAAACTATCTGTATATTGAAAACTACTTATCTGATTTAAATAATATTTGGTATGTATATGTTATAGAATAAGACGAACCTCTTAATATTTTGATATTTGTATCATTTCTGGATATACCGGAAGTAGGCATCAACTTTGTTATTTTAAATGGAACACCCTGTATATTAATATATTTTTGAAATCAACGTAAAATTTTAGGGTACTTTTGTCTAAAACACTTTTTTCAAAAATGCATATTTTTTGAGTTAATAATTTTTGTTTGAAAAATTTAACCGATGCAGACCCTTATAAATTATTTTTTTACGGGGATACCTTTAAAGTTATGGAAACCGTTTCTGTAAGGGGCTACTAGCAATGTCAAAGGTATTTAAATATGTGTTAAACAACTTTTTATTTTATACAGGGTGTGTACAAAGCATGCGTAAAGTAGAATTTCAAAAATATCAAATTCCCTAATTTTTTTAAATGGAACCACCCATTTTTTTCTATTTTAATGTAAATCAACTGTAAAAAATAAGGGATGCTCGTGTTTACTTCCGTATACCTAAACCTAATAATTTTGAAAATATTACAAAATTTTACATAAAACCTACTTTTCTGTCTTATTTTTAAATAACTTAGTTTTACAAGTTGGCCATGTAATTATCGTACAAGTACCATAATTAATAATTAATTAATCAAGAATAATTTACATGGCCAACTTTTAAAAGCTATTTAATTCAGAATTAGGCAGAAATGTAAGTTTTATGTAATTTTTTTAATTACTTCAAAACTAGTAGGTTTAGGTATAGGGAAGTAAACATGAACTTCCCTTATTTTTGACCGCTGATTTTATTAAAATAGAAAAAATGGGTGGTTCCATTTAAAAAAATTAAGATATTTGATATTTTTGAAGTTTAACTTTACGCATGCGTTTTGTACACACTCTGTATAAAATAAAAAGTTTTTCAACGCAGATTCAAATACCTCTGACCTTTCTAAACAATTTTCATATCTTTAAGGGGATCCCCGTAAAAAAATAATTTATAAGGGTCTGCATCGGTCAAATTTTTCAAACTAAAATTATTAACTCAAAAAATATGCAAAAAAACTTCATATGAACACATGTCCTTAACCTAAAATTTATTATTTTTTTAAATTTTACCACAGCGACTAATGTAGCGGCAGCGTACAAATAAATGCATTTATTTTTTTAATGCAAAACGATACGGGAAAAAGTCAAAGAAATCAAATTTGTTCTAAATTGAATGGGGATTGCGAAAATAATGTTTATTTCAATATTAGACAGTGGCGTACCATTTTTTTTTCCAAAAATATTCAATACAAAACCCGTACAGACGCCACTGCTAAAAATAATAAAATTATTCGTACATCAGAAAATGCATCTTGATTCATAGAAAACGTGTGCCAAATTTCATAAAAAATATTTGCAATAACATCACAGTTATTACAAAAAAAATATTTTTTTCTTAAAATTTTAACACCCTGTATCTCAAAAGTTAAGCCGTTTAATGCATAGGTTTATATGAAGTTTTTTCCTTAAAATAGGTCCAGGAATTACTACTCCTTTAAATTTTAGCATGTCCTTTTGGAACAACCTGTATAGTACAGGGTGGCACATTAGTATGGAAAAGCTCAATATATCTGTTATTGTAGAAGATATGAAAAAAACTTCATTACAAAAGTTGTAGATCTTTTTAAGCTGCACTTTTTAAAATTAGTAACATTTATGCAAAGTGTCCCGTCTTTTCTTGGTAGACCAAACTTATAGTTTTTTAAATTGAACACCCTGTTTTTTATTTAAAAATTGAAATTAGCTCGTTTTCAGCTTTTCAAAAATATAATATTGTATTATGTTATACTGAGTGGTTTAAAACTTATGACCACTTTTAAACGAAAATCGTACTAAGTTTACCAACTATGTAGAAACTAAATGGATTGACTTGAAAATAAATTTTAGGTTTGACAACATTGCAATTATCCTGAAAATGTACAAAATAAATATTTCTCCAAAGAAAATGTTATATCGTTGCATTTAAATTTTTTGATAAAATCGGTGTATTTTGAAGTAATGTCGAAAAACGCCATCTTGCGCCCAAGCAAGCAATTAAAATAATATCTTATATAGTGTAAATTATAGACCAAAGAAAGCCGTTTTCAAAAATTTTATTTTTTTGAAAATCGTTTCAGCCGTTTAAAAGTTATTAACATTTATTTGTCAAAATATTTAATCCACCCCCACCACTTTATTTTAAAAGATAGAGTCAAAAACACAACTAAAAATAATAGAAATTATCTTAACTATTAAAATATACCACATTTTTGATACCTTTATTTAGGAAAATTTTGAAAAAATGACTTTTAAAAATCAAGATGGCGGATACTCCCCCTAGCGGCCATTTTAGAAATCTAAAAATTATTTCCAGCATTTTCTTTTGGCCGATTTAGTCATAAGATTTTTTACCGCAAGTCTCTATGACAATTAGTTTGTGAGATATGGCCGAGAGCCATTCTTAAAGGACCACCCTGTACATTTTCAGGATAATTGCAATGTTGCCAAACTTTAAATTTATTTTCAAGTCAATTTTAGTACGATTTTTTTTAAAGTGGTCATACCTTTTAAACCACTCAGTACAACATAATACAATACTATATTTTTGGAAAGCTAAAAACGAGCTAATTTCAATTTTTGAATAAAAAATATGGTGTTCCATTTAAAAAAGTGCAAGTTTGGTCTACCACGGAAAAACGGGTCACTCTGTATAAATGTAACTAATTTTAAAACATGCAGCTTAAAAAAATCTACAACTTTTGTCGTGAAGTTTTTTTGATATCTTTTATAATAACAGATATATTGAGCTTTTCCATACTAATGTACCACCCTGTATATGATAACAGTAAACTGATAACATAAATGTGATTTGAATGAAATTTTTTTTTAGGTCCCCATTCTATAACACATTTGAGTGTATACTCCAAAAATCGTACTTCAATTTCCCTTCGATGGATACCACCGTACCCCCCAACAGGTGTCTTAAAAGAGTATAAAATTGTATATATTTATTCAGAGCATAAAGTTCATTATATTCAAATTTATCCTATTAAGGATATAATAAGAGCTTCAGAAGCTACATGTAAGCTATGGAAGGAATTTCATTGCGCTACAATTACCAATGATGAATCAGATGGTCATATTGACTTTGTAGAGGTAATAGGTTTACCTGAATATCTACAATTTTATTTTATTTTAATGTCATTAAGCATAAAAGGTTTTCATAAAAATGAATTATCTCATTTTTGATTAATAACTCGTTCTTCGGGTTGTCCTGTATTTAGATGGAAGGAAAAAATAATAAAGAAATTATTATTAACAAAAAAAAATGAATTTCGAAATATACGAAGCGACAAATCAATTTTTTCGTATACAGGGTGTCCAGAAAATAGAAGTCAATAACTCGCGAGCGTATAAATGACATCAAAATAAGGGTGTATCTTCGTATAAATTTTGTTAATTTGAGCCTCCATTTTTGAACTAGAGGCCTTTAAAGTTGAAAATTTAAAACTTATTTTTTACGTTTTATTTCCAAGTTATACATGATGGGAACAAAATTAAATTTTTGTGGTTCATTACCTACACCTATTTGTTGATAAAATGAATCCTACACTATTCTCTGGAAGACAGTGATGGGGTGTTCCCAGTGGTTAACAATTCGTAACTTTTATGGGGACAATCTGTATAACACAAACAAATCGTAAATACATTATTTTATCGATAAACTAACAAAAATGTACTCTTGTTTGAAGTCGATAAAATTAACGGTTTTAGAGAAATTTTAATTTTTAAATCAGGATGTTAAGAAAATCGCCAAACGAAAGATTATAACAAATGTTCTATATGGGAACCCTTTCGTTGAAAACACTTATGAAACATAAGGAGAATATTTCTTTGTACTCTAAAAAGCATTTCTTGATTTCACAATGAAAAATTATTCTGTCCATTAAATTCATCACTTCATTTAGTGGAATTTCCTCTAAAAGAGGTGATAAATCAATCTGAAGAAATTCCAAGATCGTCTCTATTGTTGTTTTTTAATATTTTTAGTAAATAGTTTCAAATAATAGGAGTTTGTCCAGAATTTTTGTTTATCCAAAAATCTCTCTTTACCCATCATCTCAATTTAAAAATTAAAATTTCTCTTAAACCGTTAATTTTATCGACTTCAAACAAGAGTACATTTTTGTTAGTTTATCGATAAAATAATGTATTTACGATTTGTTTGTGTTATACAGATTGTCCCCATAAAAGTTACGAATTGTCAATCATTGGAAAAACTCCACCACTGTCTTCCAGAGAATAGTGTAGGATTAATTTTATCACCAAATTGGGCACACGGGTGTAGGTAATAAACCACAAAAATTTTATATTGTTCCCATGTATAGCTTGGAAATAAAACGTATAAATAAGTTTTACATTTTCAACTTTAAAGGCCTCTAGCTCAAAAATGGGGACTCAAATTAATAAATAATTTACATGAATTATTACGTGATAACATTTTTTTTTAAGGTGTCTGCAAAAAATCAGGAACCAGACGAATTTGGTCCTCACACCAGAATAAAAATAGAGCGCAAAGAAATGGGTAACGTTTTGTTAAATTAATACTCTTAATTTATAAATTGTTGTAAACAAATTTTAAATGCACCGCCATATAAAAATACACCAACACTTGAATATTATTTTTTTTATACAGGACCGGAACCACCGTATAATTTAAATTACGAATGGACGGACGAAAATAAACTATTCATTACGTTTTACCATCCGAATAACACCAACGGTAGGCTAACGAGATTTGAGTTAGTGGTATTTAATAGAAGTGAATCTAAAATTATAAGAAACGAAGAAGATTACCAACTTCAATATAAATTTAATTACGAACATTTGGCAGTAAGTAATTTTAATTTACACAAAGGTTATCACAATTAAAGTTTTGATTGAAACGAATGAGTAACACATACAAGGTGTTAATTAATTGAATGGCGATACTTCAGGATCTGAATGAATATTTGGATGATTTTAAGAAGAAAAATTTATATCAATGTATGTCCTAAACCTCTTAATTTTCGAGCTACCAGGGTGTTAAAATTTTAGAAAAAAAATAACTTTTCTTATTACTCCAGTTATTTTTAAGAAATTTTTTATACACTTTTTAATTATTAAGGAGCATTTTTTGAGGCACAAGATTTTTTTAAATTTTCACCAGTGACGTCCGTACGGAGTTTGAACGCAATATGTTTGAAAAAAAATGGTACACCACTATTTTTTCTAAAAACTAAAATTATTTTTAAAATCCTCATTTATTTTGTAGCAAATTCGGTCAGAAGACTTATTTTCGTACGACGCACCATTTTCGCGTAAATAAATAAAAACCAAAACCATTTTTTCCAAAATTCATTTTGAGACTGCTTTTGATATTTTGTTGAAATTTGATAGTCGCCCACCAGGCATGGAAAAACTTTTTTTTTTTACAAAAATTAATATTCTACTATTACCAGTGACGTCAACGTCCGAAATTTCATAAAAATAACTGTCGTAATAAGAAAATTATGATAGAAAAGTTTTTTTTTCTAAAATTTTACCACCCTGTAGCTAGAAAACTAATACCCGATTTCACCAACATGTTCTTAGGCATTTTCTAACTAAGCAATTCCTAAGGTAGGAATTACTTAAATTTAATACTTACCTAAATCGAATTTCACCAACATTAGAAATCCTTTACTAAGAAATACCTTAGGTAAAAATTTGATTTCGACAATTTTTTAAATTTTATTGGTAGCATTGGCTAATTTTGACGTGTAAACCGAATAAGCGGAGATTTTAATTGAATATGTTGAGAGAAAAGAAGAGATGTTGATGATCCGGGCCATCTTTAAACTATGTTAGTTATTTTTAAATCTGCTGAAGATGTAGTCTGTAAATTAATAGAAAAATAGCCTTTCCGATTTGTAAAATATTTCTACATCTTCTCCTCCAGGATAATGGATCTTTACATGTATTTGTACAGTCAATAGATCCAAAAACTTCCTGTGTTTCAAATTAAAAATAATCTTCAAATCTTTGTAATATTTGTAATGCCGCATTTTTATATATCGAAAAAGTCGAAAAAAAAAACATCAGTTTCGTCAAGTTTCTAAAAACTCCTCCCATTTTAAATTTTCATCTAAAGAGACTAAAAAACAGCCAAGTCTTAAGTCACATGAAATCACATGAAAAGTATGATTAAGTATTTCCTAAATGTTTTAGGCAAGCCCAGTGAGTTTTCCTAACTTTAGGCATTTCTTATTACCTTTAGGTATTACTTAGTGCATGGTGAAACGCAAATTATACTTAGGAAATCCTAAACCTGGTTTAGGTATTACCTAACTTTAGGAACTGGTTGGTGAAATTGGGCATAAGTGGTTTAATAAACTTGTCTTCTTAAAATCATCCAAATATTCATTCACATCCCGAAGTATCGGCATCATACAATTAATTAAAACCCTGTATTTTTAAGTTTTTAGAGACACAAGAACCCTGCAGTAATTTCAAAATGTCTATAAGAGCTCAGAATATATACGACAATAGTAACTTTACAGAGTTACTAATACATGTTCCTCCTTCAACACCAAACAATATAACAACAAAATTCAACTACACCAGTGGGATATCGAAAATAACAATACATTTAATGTTTGAAACGAATCACCCCAATCGGGTTATTATTCTCGTCTCTAAACGGATTAACATCGATGAGCTTCGATTATTCGAAACCAACGATCTTATCGATCAAAATCAATTCCAAAAGAATTTCACTTCTTTTTGGATTGTATACGATAACAACAATTTGAATTCTTCCGTTGTGTTATTCGAGATAGGCGATGGAAATTCAAAATGGCGCGGTTTGAGGAATCCCCTTTTGGAATCCGGAACAAATTACACGATTATTGTGTATATCGCCAATTATTGTAAAGATGGGGCAACGAGATGGAGGAAAGTGGAGAAAATTATTCTGACTGATTACGAAAGTAATTCGTGGAATTTATGGCTCACGATGATATTGATTCCGATTATTATTGTTCCATTCGTTCTTTGGTAAGGTCTTAATTATATAATTTAATTTATGCGATAAGTATATAAACTCCTGGACAAAATTAACGCAACATCATAAATTTGCCACATTTTTTATGCTATTTTTTGTTTGAATTTATGATCCTATTTGGATGATTTTTTTTTTGTATTATATGTTGGTTCCTTGACAATTGACATTGTCATCATTTTCGCTGCTTATGATAAAATGTTCCTTTTAGATTATACCGGATGTGTCAAAAATCGAATACATTATTTGTTATTTTAATCTTGAAAAATGAATCGTCCAAAAAATTTATCGACCGAAGAATTATATAGCATTATAAATTCATTAATTTTATTGTTTTTGATTTATGTTCTTTTCTTGTTTCACTCGTTTCCAAAAAAAATGTGTTTAATAAACTCTTAATTTTACTTTATGAAATAAGGTAATTCGTTAATTATGTTTTCATTCATCAAAGTGAGCAGGAATTATTTTGTTATACATATAACAAATAATGTATTCGATATTAATATGGTACATCACTTGAAATGTCAAAAATGGCCCATCTTACTTGAAAATATTTAACAATGAATGTTTTGAATAATAAAGTCTATTAAAACATGTTACGCTATAAAACGGCGTATCTTCTTTAATAACAGAGATAATAAAGTAAACCAAAAAAGAAAATGTTGACAAAAGATGGATCTACCGTCTAATGTCAACTGCTATATGTCTCGTTTGTTAGTATACTCCACAGGGTGATACGAATTTTCGGAAAAAAACATTACATTTTTATTACATCCGGTATAATCGAAAAGGAACATTTTATCATAAACAGCGAAAATGATGACAATGTCAATTGTCAAGGAACCAACATATAATACAAAAAAAATCATCCAAATCGGATCTCATAAATTCAAACAAAAAATAGCATAAAAAATGTGGCAAATTTATGATGTTGCGTTAATTTTGTCCAGTAGTTTATTTATCATTATTATGCATTTTAAGGTACATGAAGAAGAATAACATTCATTGTGTGTGTTCAATTACATGCGGATACCCGTACAGGTCGTCAGGTTAGTAAGACATATTTATATTATACAGGGTGTCCCAATGAAAAGTAGCCCCTTTATTGAGTTAATGATTTTTAAACGCATAATCATAAACACATGGGGTTTTCGCAGATATATCTTATTTTGCTATAACTTTTGTATCGTCTGTAGAAGAGTATATCCTTTAAAATATCTCTACGTATTCCATTAAAAAAAAATGGGTTACTGTGTATTTAAAACGGAAGATTTTGATACAACACCCTGTGTTGGTAATGCATATTTTCTGTATTACTGTAACAAAACTTATAATAAAATAAAACATATTCGAAAAAACCGCATGTTTTTATGATTAGGCGTTTAAAAATTATAAGCTCTGTAAATGGGTTACTTTTCATTGGGACACCCTGTACTATACAGGGTGTGTCACGACGAGCTTAAACTGTTTGTATTAGCACCCTGTATATTGATATATTTTCGAAATCTACGTAAAATTTCAGGATATCGAAACACTTTTTCAAAAATGCATGCTTTATGAGTTAATTTTTTTTTTAATTTGGCCGATGCAGGTCTTTGTAAATTATTTTGTTACGGGGATCCCCTTAAAGATATGGAAACGGTTTCTGTTGGGGGGCTACTAGAAAGGTAAATGGTATTTGGAACTGTGTTGAAAAACTTTTTATTTTATACAGGGTGTGTAAAAAAATTGTACAAAGTTGAACATCAAAAATATCAAATTTCTTCATTTTTTTTAAATGGAACCCATTTTTTTCTATTTTAACGAAATCAGCAGTCAAAAATAAGGGAAGTTCATGTTTACTTCTCTATACCTAATAATTTTGAAGATATTAAAAATTTTACTTAACACTTACTTTTCTGTTTTATTCTTAAATAATTCGGTTTTACAAGTTAGCCATGTAATAACTCACAAGTACTAAAATTAATAATCAATTAATCAAGAATAATTTACATGGCCAACTTTTAAAAGCTATTTAATTCAGAATTAGGCAGAAATGTAAGTTTTATGTAAAATATTTAATAACTTTAAAACTATTAAGTTTAGGTATAGGGAAGTAAACATGAGCTTCCCTTATTTTTGACTGCTGATTTCATTCAAATAGAAAAAAATAGGTGGTTCCATTTAAAATGAAGAAATTTGATATTTTTGATGTTCAACTTTACGCATGTTTTGTACACACCCTGTATAAATTAAAAAGTTTTTTAACGCAGATTCAAATACCTCTGACCTTTCTTGTACCCACCCTTCAGAAACAATTTCGATATCTTTAAGAGGATCCCTGTAAAAAAATAATTTATAAGGGTCCGCATCGGTCAAATTTTTCAACTTAAAAAGTATGCATTTTAGAAAAAAGTGTTTTAGACAAAAGTATCCTGAAATTTTACGTAGATTTCGAAAATATATTAATATACAGGGTGTTCCATTTAAAATAATAAAGTTGATGTCTACTTCCGGTATAACCGGAAGTGGTACCACTGTCAAATTATTTTTAGGAGATTCGTCTTATTGCATAACATATGTATACCAAATTTTATTAAAATCGGATAAGTAATTTCCAATATACAGATAGTTTAAGCTCGTCGTGACACATCCTGTATGTTTCCAAAAATAATACAAACTCTTTTGTTATAAAAATGATTTCCATGAGAAATAAATTTGTTAGTCCTATTTTATTTTAAAATTTCAGCAGCAGCTTGAAATTGAAACGTATTACATTGGGCAGAAAACAAAATAGACAAATAACTTTGAAAGTTACATTTAAGTAAAGGACAACTTCATACAGTTTAAAAGATAAATTAAATTCTCTACATGATAGAGGTCTCAATCGGTCTCAAATGATGCAATCTACCGCCAAAAATTCGCAACAAATTCAAGAACACCCTGTAGTTCACCTAAATCCGGTCCTGGATGCTAATGTGTAGATAAAAATAATTTTATTGTGAATAGTGGTATGGAAATATTTAAGAATGTTCCATTTAAAACAAACTATCGTATTCAGTATGGAACACCTTTTGTATATTCTTTCAAAATATTAACTTATTTATGTACCTATTATTGTTTTCTTTATGAATAGAAATTTTATTGTAATTACAAAAAAAAAGATGTTAAAGATTTATTTACCATAAAAATAAATATACAGGTTGCTCCATTTTTGGTCGCAACATAGATTATACAGTGCACTTCATTAATGTCCCCCTCCCTTTTATTTTTTGAACGGATCAACTAAGAAAATTGTAATTTGGAATAAAGAAACTAATACAAGTTTACTATATTTTGGAGTAAAATTGACAGATGTAAATTTCAAGATGGCGATTGGGCGCCATCTTGAAAAATAAATTTAAATGGAAAGGGGTGTCTTGTGATACATCATTTTGAAGCTCCTGTCAAATACTCTACAACCCTGAAATATAAAGTCAATATCTGCACCTGCTACAAAATGGCGGAACATTTAATAATTACCTGAATACATCGATGTTTAACGTCATAATTTGAGGAAATAAGCTGAGTTCAGTTCAAAAAATGCTCGAAATGGTTTCCTTGAACTTCTTGACATAAGAACAGTCTATCCGAACATTTTCGAACATATTAATGTCGATATTTCTACAAATATTTGTAATTATTTCTCGTATATCCAATATTGAAGCAGGTTCAGTTTCGTACACTTTTTGCTTCAAATAGCCCCATACAAAAAGGTCTAAAGGTGTCAAATCTGGCGAGCGGGCTGGCCATTCCGTAGGACCTCAACAACCAATCCAACAATCAGGGAAAATAGCATTCAAATAGTTCATTATTTGTCTGGAGTATTGTGGTGATGCTCCATCTTCCAATGGACGAGAATTGGCCATTTTAGAGTTAGTTCACGTCGTACTTAACTACAATGAGAACTAAACAACCGAAAACTAAATGAAAATATTTTGAACAACAGGAGAATCGAAAATTAAAGAGAATATTTTGAACACTAGGAAAACCAAAAACTAAATGAGAATATTTTGACTAAACAATTAATGTTCGTTGTCGTACGTTGGTTTGTTGTAGATTGCTTCGAAGGACCAAAGTGATTGTATACTTATTATATATTGAAAGAAATTTTAATTGTAAACTAACATCGAGATACAAAATTCCGTGCTTTTGTCACGGCGTTTAATAGGCGAATTCTCCTGCTGCCGAAAATGCAGCGGCGTTGCCAAGCATATTAAAAAATCGAAAATAATACAAAATGAATGTGAACATACTTAAATTTTTTGGAATTTTTTAACCAAAAATAACCTGTCAAACCTTATCGGTTTGTTGGGATTGCTATTTGGCATAGAAAAATAAATATTTCTAGAAAAATTGATATTAATTTGTTTGTATTCTGGTAATTATTAAATGTTCCGCCATTTTGTAGCAGGTGCAGATATTGACTTTATATTCCAGGATTGTACAGTATTTGTCAGGAGATTTAAAATGATGTGTCACAAGACCCTCCTTTTCATTTAAATTTATTTCTCAAGATGACGCCCAATCGCCATCTTGAAATTTACATCTGTCAATTTTACTCCAAAATATAGTAATCATGCATTAATTTCCTTAGGTGTGATCTTTTATTCAGCGGTTGAACAATCGATGTCATTAAACTGTTCATTTATTCAGCGATTATTTAAACGTTTGTCATCTGTCAACGATCTTTTTCTCATCGATGAAACAGCGATTAGTCATCTGATTAATCGGATTTTGATGAGGATGGATTTGGTTGACAGATGAATTATAACCCATATTTTTCATTCCATGATCGGTTTCGGTTATGATCTGATGTTCCATGCTGAAGTTTTGCATTCAACGTGCATTCAAATTTTTTTAATTTGTTTTGCTGGTTTTGCAATTTGCAATGGATTCCGAAATCTGCTATTGCATGAGTTTTATTGATTTCTTTGTTTATTAAAAATAGTTCCAATAACTCATCAATTCCACTGTTATTTGAGGACTCTTCACTTTCAGGTTCTGATGATGAATCGGATGAATCGGATGAATATAACATATTTTTAAGCAATCAAATAAAACTCCATTTTTTATAATTTCCCTCACATTTAAAAAGTCAAATTCAAATTGTCAATGTCAACGTCAAAATTTCCAACCATCCAGCAATTTGTTCCTATATTCACATAAATCAATTCCATCAGGAATCAATCATGACGTCATTTGACATTAATCATAGGTGAAACGGAGATGGAAATAAGATCATACCTCTTATCCCAAATTTCAATTTTCTAAGTTCCCGATCCGTTCAAAAAATTAAAGGGGTGAGGGACATTAAAGAAATGCACTGTATAAGCCATGGGTGCGATAAAGACAACTTCCATTAGAGACAACTATAAAGGAAAAGGAAAGAATGACATTTGTGTCATTGCAACTTCTGCACTCTAACAACTGTCATTATTGTTAATCTTTCTTTGTTCAACTCATAGAAATGACCATAATATTGCAATCGGAAATGGAGCAAACGATATATTAATATATATTTCCGGGTATTGTTTATTTACACAAACATTTTCACACTTAATCCTATTACATATCCTTAAATTCTCCCGTTTTATTCAACAACAATATATCGGGATTCTCCTTTTCGAATTCGCTGGGCTCCCTGTCTCTGTCCTCCTGTCCCCATTCGCCTACGGAACTCAAAACGTTCGGCAATTTCTTTTTCTCGAACTCTTCCCTCTACAAAAAAATTCCCCCCGTCAACAAAACCAAAAAAAAACACCGTTCATTTTACAACAACTCAAAATTTATTCAAAATACCAAACACCAAAAGATTCATTTACTAGGGAGAGAGAGAGAGAGAGAGAGAGAGATAACGCTAAAATAAAAATTAATTGGCCTTCACCTGCGTGTCCATTTTCGCGAATTTATCGAACATATTCGCGTAGATTTTCTTCTCTTTCTGCAGTTGTTCCTTTAACGTTTTAGAACATTCAGCCAGCTGGGCCTTGACGGCGTTGTTATTCGGATCGATTTCCAAACACCTAAACAAACCGAGTTAAATTATTTTAATTATTAATAGGAACTCGATTAAACCGCTTGCTCGAAATATTCAACCTTAGATCTCATATACAGTGTGTTATTTATAAGATGGGATATAGGGATTCCTGTACAAATGTGTCAAAAGTAAGATAACTTTTTTATTAAATAGCGTTCTTAAAAGATAATGACAGATTTGAAAAGATCGTCAAAAAATAAGTCGAAATGGACATTAAATTTTCTTAAATTCGTTCTGGTTTAATAAAAAAATGTATAATTAAGTTGAAAAAAGTCAAACGTCATTAATGTGTCATTTTTATGTCACTATCTAATAATTGTAAAATGGGCGGAGTTAACCGGGATGGTTTACGCTCGGAAATTAAAAAATTTTTTTTCTTTTTTTTTTGGTTTTTTTTATGTTTTTGTCTAAAAAATGTTAAACAGAAATATTTAAAATAAGGCGAGCTTATTTGAGATAATTTTTTTTTTATATAATTAAAAGCTCCGACAATTAAGTGTCAATTTTAATAACGCAAAATCTCGTTAGTAGGTAGAGTCTTTAAAATGATGCCATATTTTTAATCTTGGCAAAAAGAAAATATTAAAAAAACAAAAAATGCCAAAGAAAAAAAATTTCAACACTGCGTGGGATTGAACCAGATTCCTTCCAGCTGAATTTTTTAAACTTCAGAGCGTAAACCATTCCAGATAACCCCTTATAACAATTATTAGATAGTGACATATGACGTTTGACTTTTTTCAACTTAATTATACATTTTTTTTATTAAACCAGAACGAATTTAAGAAAATTTAATGTCCATTTCGACTTATTTTTTGACGATCTTTTCAAATCTGTCATTATTTTTTACAAATGTTATTTCATAAAAAAGTTAGCTTGTTTTTGACACATTTGTACAGGAATCACTATATCGCATTTTATAAATAACACCCTGTATATTAACGTGGATAAGTCGACAGGGGTAAATTCTGTTGCCAACATATTCACGATGTACTTTTATGACCCGTCCTTGTTTGACACTCGCTAGTTTCTAACGGTGTTTCTTTGTCTTGGAGCCTTTGATAATTTTGACGTATACAGGGTGTCTACTATAAAAACCGCCAAACTTCAGGAGGTGATTATACAAGTAATTTTGAACAAAAAATGTCCTATAACACTTTTTCGAAAAGTCGATAGTATTATTTAACATTTCATTATTTTAAATTTTTTTTGGATATTTTCCGAAAAGACCGAAATATCACATTTATTCGTATAGTCACATTAATTTTGATCATATACCGTAAAAGTGCATTAAATTTGCTATAAAAAAAGTATTTATCAGAGTTAAAAAAAATCAATACCGGGTGTTATAAAAGATTTAATTGTTATGAATATGAAATGAACATAATTATATGTTTCTTTTAATGGTCGTAAAGCCAACAATTTTATAAAATTCATGTTTTTTTTTTTAGTAAAAACTACTGTATTTAATAAGCTTTTAAGAGGTATACTCAGATATTGAGTAAATTTTTTTTTGTAGAAATTTTAAAGCTATATGTTGTTATGCTATAAAGTGTTATAGGACATTTTTGGTTCGAAATTACTTGTATAATCACCTCCTGAAGTTTGGCGGTTTTTATAGTAGACACCCTGTATAGTTAGCGCCAAATTTAAATATTCACGTTTCATAACTATTTTAAGATGCTTGTTGTTTACCTCAGTGTTATGTATAAACCGCAAACACTAAACACAAACCAATCCAATAATCAAAAATCCAAATATAAATAACAATACGACGCCATGACAGTTATGAAGCAGATGTCAAATGTCATAGTGTCAATGCTAGTGCTAGAAAAGGACGGATCAACATTGCCAAATGTCTAATAGCTATTTCTTATTTCTACTTTTCTTTTACCACAAATAAGTAATCGAGCAGCTGTTTTGTACAATAATTAGTTAATTAAAATGTATACGCATTTAAATAGTATTACTGCATTTCAAAACAATTATTTTAGATAAATTGAGTAAATAAAAATATTTTTATCGTTCATCGTACATATTAAAAGAGTGAAAAAATACAACAAATCTGTGAACCTGGCAACAAGGGCGAGTTTTCTAATATATCTGTTGTATACTAATAAATACGTTCAGATTTTTAAAGCGCATGCTCAATTGGCAGACCAAAACAAAGATAAATCTATGCTGAATTCCATAGAGCAAAAAAAGAGAGTATAATTTAGGCATGTTGTAGATGTTGGCAACAGGAACGTTAATGTAATTCTTATGGTATTGATGCATCCACGTTAGTATATACAGGGCTTTTCACGGTAACCGTCCATTAGAAGTATCTCAATAATGAAAAGACTTAAAAATCTGAAATTTTGGTTATTGTATTTTTTTGGATAATATGATGAATTGATCTAAAATATTTTCATTTTGATTACACTTCCGGTTATACCGGAAGTTGACACCAACTTCGTTATTTTATATGAAAAGTGCCATTTTTAACTTCATTTTTGAATTCTATTTCCTTTTTTAGCTAGAATTTGATAATAACACCATATGCCAAAAATGCACTATTTTTAAGATAATACAATTTTTTTGATATTTTTTTGAAAAAACACTCGAATGTATTTTCTGTGATATCTCTGTTAATAATGCAACTAGAAGCTTGAAATTGAGTATCGATGATATCCAGACACACTACTAAACGAAACTAAACTGTATTTTCAGAATCCATGTACAGGGCGTTTAAAATTGTCTGACAAACATGGCCAAATTAAAGTGGTCAAAACTTTGTTATTTCAAATGGATCATCCTGTATTTTTTAACAGTGACCAATGTAGTTTTTTAAGCCCTTTCGATCCATATGGGTGTTCCCTATACCCAAATCCAGTAATTTTTGAAATAATCGAAGTCTTATCAAATAAGGTATAAATTTTCTTTTTTTTTTTTAGTTATCTAGTTGGCCATTTGATGGCCTTATGTCAATCCGAAATTTATGTATTTTTGAAAAATTCTACGCTTAATTTAATTAAGAGTACTTTTGTCTAAAATATTTTTTCAAAAAATGCATACTTTTTGAGATATTTTTTTATAAAAAAATTGACAGTTGCAGACCCTTATAAATTATGTTTTTACGAGTAAACCCTTAAAGTTAATGAAATGGTTTCTGTGAGGTGACTACCATTAAGGTTAAAGGTAATTGAATCATTCGACATTCGACTGTTTTTCCAAAAAAAAAACATAAAAAAAATTGTATTATCTTAAAAATAGTGCATTTTTGGCATATGGTGTTATTATCAAAGTCTAGTTAAAAAAGGCAATAGAATTCAAAAATGAAGTTAAAAATGGCACTTTTCATATAAAATAACGATGTTGGTGTCAACTTCCGTTATAACCGAAAGTGTAATCAAAATCAAAATATTTTAGATCAATTGAAATTATCCAAAAAATACTATAACCAAAATTTCTGATTTTTAAGTCTTTTCATTATTAAGATAATTCAATGGACGGTTTTCGTGAAAAGCCCTGTATGATCTAAGTATTCCAAACCAACCGATTAAAGTCTTGACTGGCCAGGGCCGGTTCGCCCAATTGGATGAAGGCCAATCCTCTTCGGAACAAAGCCTTCTCGTTGTTCGGATCGATTTTCAGGGCCGAACTGGCCGACGATTTGGCCTCAAAGTGTTCGTTCAGTTTCAAATGACACAGGGCGATGTTCAAATGCGAGGCCAACAACAACGATTTCCTCTCATCTTCGGTATCGGTATCTACAAAAAAAAAATATAATTTCGCTCGTTATTAACCAAAACGTTCGATCAAATTCGTGCAAATTGGGGCCTGTTTCATATAACTGACAAGTCCTGTCAAATAAGTGTAGTCTAAATTTGACTCGGGGTATTTGACAAGTTTGTGTTTCGTAAAATTACACGAGTTGATTATTAGTGACAAGTGACTAGACTAATATTACAAGTCTGTTTTACAATTGTAGATAGGTTTGCGTTTCATAAAAAAATAAATTAAACAACACTTTTGTCATTTATTCATTATTTATATTTGTCATTTATCATATACAGTGTGTCCACGGATGGGTTTGCCTTTAGGAGAATAATTTTTATTATTCATTTCACGACAAAAAGTCATTGTTTATAAAAATTTTTGCTTTATTTAAAAATGAGAATAACACTGAAAAATCTTAGATTTGATCTACAGGGTGTTGCCAAATTAAGAATACATGAAAATACCTCAAGAGAGAAGTGGCATTATTTTTTATTTTACACAAAATTTTTATAAAAGAAAGTTGTTTATAATCTAAAATAAAGTCTGAATACAAATTTGCAATCTTAAAATTCCAATTTTGTGTGTCCCTAGATAAAGTTGACCAGATAAGAAAAATGATTATTATTAATTTTACGACGAAAAGCCATTCTTTATAAAAAAATTAACTCGTCGAAAAAATGAGATTCACATATCAAAACATTAGATAAGATGTATGGGGTGTTAGTAAATTAAGAAACAGGAAAAAATTTCAAGAAAGAAAGAATTTATTTATTATCTTACATTATTATTTACAAAAAAAAACTTTTTATCCAAAGTAAATTAAAATAAATTAATAATGTAAAAATTGTATTTTTTATTTGAAAATTTGTGTTTAGCCTTTACTTTAGATTTAAAGCATTTTTTGTAAATAATAATGTAAGATAATAAATAAATTCTTTCTTTATGTAAGATAATAAAATTTCTTTCGTTCTTTCTTGAAATTTTTTCCTGTTTCTTAATTTACTAACACCCTATACGTCTTATTTAATGTTTTGATATGTCAATTTCATTTTCTCGACAAGTAATTTTTTTTTATAAAGAATGGCTTTTCGTCGTAATATTAATAACCATTTTTCTTATCTGGTTAACTTTATCTAGGGACACACAAAATTTGAATTTAAGTTTGCAAATTTGTATTCAGGCTTTATTTTAGATTATAAACAACTTTCTTTTATAAACATTTTGTGTAAAATAAAAAATAATGCCACTTCTCTCTCGAGGTATTTTCATGTTTTCTTAATTTGACAACACCCTGTAGATCAAATCTATGATTTTTCAGTGTTATTCTCATTTTTAAAAGAAGCAAAAATTTTTATAAACAATGACTTTTTGTCGTAAAATTAATAATAAAATTTTGTATACTATAGGCAACCCCATCCGTGGACACACTGTATATTAGTGTAAAGCGACAGGGACTTGATTTCCTGTCACCATTCGATTTTCTTGTAAATTTAAAAGAAAATGTGGTCTAGTGACAGTGAGGAGGAAGCTAATTGAGAGTTTATTAAACGATTTCGAATGAATTCGATAAAAATGGAGAAAATATTAAAATCTATTGGTCCCCGTCTAATGTATTGAACCAACGTATAGAAATTATGCATTGTATTTGTTAGTTTCAATGCTCACATTTTATAGCTTTTGTAGAAGTGGGACTAAATTTTCCAAATAGAAATGCTCTTTCTTTATTAAAATAATTGAATAATAAATGTCGCTGCATTTTAGAAATAAGTTTTTTGTCAATAAACGAAATTGTTGTGGTTCACATCTAAAAATAGCTCCAACCAGAAAAAAAAAAACAATTTCAAAGTAAAAGTTTCCCAATATCGAAAAACGAAGGTTGTGCTATACTTATGTGCTCCTCAGTATAGTAAGTACTATTTTTTTCTTTTTGGCTTAAATCTGACGTTTAATTAATATTACAGTTGTAGAAAAACAGATATCAATTTTTCCGATTTCCTTAATGAAAAAACACCCTGTACATCAAATTAAATGTCAACATATCCATAGAAACGCAAAAGTCATCCATTTTGTTTTTCATTCGGGAATGATCGTACGTCATCGTAGATCGAAAAGTCGCAGTCGTAAAATATGCATCGATTTCGAAAAATCTTTACAATTCGATAAATAATAATTAAGAAAATGGGAAAAAAATTTGGTAGATAGAAAAATGTCGTATTTATAAATTTTCGCTTTCAAAATTTTCTAAAAGATGATAGTTTCCGAGTTTTGGCGTTACAAACTTGAAGACGATTTAAAAACGGTTTTTTCGAATAAACTCAAAAAGTTCAGATCGGAAAAACACCCGGTCTCTTTTGTCGAATGGAAAAAAGAATTTTCAATTATTTTGCAAGTATGAAAAATGTTCGTAAATCTTACCGTTTACGAGTTATTTCGATTTTTAGAAAACCCTCGAAAACTATTTTCCACGATATTTTCCCTAAACGTTTTTTTCCTGGAAAACGGCTATATACGAAAGTCGAGAGAACCGATGGAGAGTCTTTTTGGAAATTTTGAAGCGAATCGAATGAACCCGATTCGAGAAAAGTGCGAAAACCCAAAAAAAAAACGTTTATTTCGTTCATTTGACGCTGAAGATGAAATTTTATCGAGTCGAAACGTCGATATTTCGATCGGGCGTGAAAAAATCTCGGGAATGACCCTACGAATTTGGGCCTTACAGCTTTATAGTATTAGTGATGCCAAAAATTTAATTCGACAAGTGTCATGAAACGAAATTTTTAAATACTTGTCAACCAACACTTGTAACTTGTCGACTTGTAACTTGTAAACTTGTCAGTTATATGAAACATGCCACTGTTTTATCGATTGACAAGTTACAAGTGTTGGTTGACAAGTATTTAAAAATTTTGTTTCATAAAATAAATGTTGACACCTGTCGAATTTAATTTTTGTCATCTGTTTTTCTACAACTGTAATATTAATTAAACGTCAGACTTAAGCCAAAAAAGAAAAAAAAATAGTACTTACTATACTGAGGAGCATAAGCATAGCACAACTTTCGTTTTTCGATATTGGGAAACTTTTATTTTGAAATTGTTTTATTTTCTGGTTGGAGCAATTTTTAGATGTGAACCACGACAATTTCGTATATTTGAAAAAAAAACTTATTTCTAAAGCTAACATTTATTAGTTTTCAATTATTCTAATAAAGAATGGGCATTCTATTTGGAAAATTTAGTCCCACTTCTACAAAAGCTATAAAATGTGAGCATTGAAACGAACAAATACAATGCATAATTTCTATACGTTGGTTCAATACATTAGACGGGGACCAATAGATTTTATTATTTCCTCCATTTTTATCGAATTCATTCGAAATCGTTTAATAAACTCTCATTAAGCTTCCTCCTCACTGTCACTAGACCACATTTTCTTTTAAATTTACAAGAAAATCGAATGGTGACAGGAAATCAAATCCCTGTCGCTTTACACTAATATATGATTGGGAGAAATGACAAGTGTTGTTTAATTTATTTCTTATGAAACGCAAACCTATCTACAATTGTAAAACAGACTTGTAATATTAGTCTAGTCACTTGTCACTAATAATCTACTCGTGTAATTTTATGAAACACAAACTTGTCAAATACCCCAAGTCAAATTTAGACTACACTTATTTGACAGGACTTGTCAGTTATATGAAACAGGCCTCTGCATGTTACTTCGAATCTAATCTGGATTTACTGTCAATCTGCTCCGAATCTACCCTCAATTTATTCTGAATTTACACTTAAATCTATTCTGAATCAATCACTCTGAATCTACTCAGACTCTACACTGAATCGACTCCGAACATCCCCTGAAACTACCCTAAACCTAGTCTAAAATCTACTCTGAACCTACTCATACATGAACTCTATTCATCTATCTACTCTACATTGAATTAAACCTACTCTGAATCTATACTAAATCTAATCTGGTTCTACTGCTCTGAATCTATTCTGAATTTACCTTCTTAATCTACTTTAAATCTACTCTACTCTGAATCTACTTCGAACATACCCTCAAACTACCCTAAATCTAATCCGAATCTACTCAAACTAAACACTGAATATAGTTCTGAATCTGCCCCGAATGTACTGCTCTGAATTTACTCAGACTCTACACTGAAACTACTCCGAATCTACTCTAAATCTAATCTGAATTTACTCCAAATCTACCTGCAATTTATTCTGAATTTTCTCTAAATCTACTCAGGCACTACACTAAATCTACTTTGAATCAATAGCTCTGAATCTGCTGTAAATCGACTACACTCTACAGACTCTACACTGAATCTACTTCGAATTTACTCTCGAACTACCCCAAACCTATTCTGAAATCTACTCTAAACCTACTACAAATCAACTTATTGACTTTACACCGAATCTACTCTGCAATCTACTCTAAACATACTCTGAATCTACTCAGACTCTACACTGAATCGACTCCGAACATACCATCAAACTACCCTAAACCTAGTCTAAAATCTACTCATACTTGAACTCTATTCATCTATCTATTCTACATTGAATTAAACCTTAGTTTAATAGGTTAATTAATTAATTAATAGGTCTATGAACAGGCCCCTGAGTGACTTACCGGTATCCGATTCGATGTAGGATTGTATACGCTTGTATAATTTAAGAGCCAGCTGGTATTTACCCGATTTGAAATAACTAGTACCTCTATCTTTAAATAGCTTCGATTGCTCTATTTTATCGGCCGAATCCAACGACCAGCTCTCCTTTAATTTCTCAAAGTTATTCAACGTAACTGTATATTCCACTACAGCGTTAGGGGGAATGTTGAATTCCTATTAATAAAAAAAAAAAACGAATTAATGTGAATACAGTGTGTTATTTATAAGATGCGACATACGGGATTTCTGTACAAATGTGTCAAAAGCAAGCTAACTTTTTTTTATGAAATAACCAGTGTTGTTAAGTAATTAATTACAAGTAATTGAATTACTTTTATTGTAATTGTGGCGGTAATTAATTACAAGCTCCTCAATTGTAATTCATTTGTAATTCAATTACTCATTTCGTTACAATTACAATTACATTTTACAATTACATTTCAATTACATTGGACAAAAAAGTACTTATTTAATATTTTCAATACGTGGAAAGTTTAATTGCAAATCCCTAAATAATTATTTAAAACTGACACCAAAGCAAAGGAATTGTGATTGTAATTGTAATTGTAATTGTAATTGTAATTAATTACATATTATAAAGTAATTTTAACATCACTGCAAATAACGTTCGTATAAGATAATGACAGATTTGAAAAGATCGTCAAAAAATAAGTCGAAATGGACATTAAATTTTCTTAAATTCGTTCTGGTTTAATAAAAAAAAATGTATAATTAAGTTGAAAAAAGTCAAACGTCATATGTCATTATCTAATAATTGTTATAAGGGGTTATCTGGAATGGTTTACGCTCTGAAGTTTGAAAAATTCAGCTGGAAGAAATCTGGTTCAATCCCACGAAGTGCTGAAAATTTTTTTCTTTTTTTCTTTGGCATTTTTTCGTTTTTTTAATGTTTTTTTTTTTGTCAAGAATAAAAATATGGCATCATTTTAAAGGCTCTACCTACTAACTAATTTTGCGTTATTAAAATTGACACTTAATTGTCGGAGCTTTTATTTAAATAAAAATTTTTTAAGAACGTTATTTGATAAAAAAGTAAGCTTGCTTTTGATACATTTGTACAGGGTGTCCAATTAAGATTGCGAGGTACTGTATTTGGAAAACTATGCATCGTAGAGAATTGCGGTAAAAAAAGTTATTACTAAAAAGGCTAGGAGAAAAATCTGGAAAATATTTTCAAGTTTCTATAATGGCCGTTAGGAGGTGTAACTGCAATATTGAAACTAAAAAAATGATATTTTTATGATTTCCGCTATATTAACCTAACAAAAAAATACCACATCTTTATAGTCGAGTATAATATGAACCTTTTTTGCTTAACAATTTTTGTTGTATCTCTAAAAATAAAGTAGTGAGTGTTATTTAAATGTTTCCGTAAAAAACACCCTGTATCTTCGAAACGGCTGAGCCGATTTAAACAAACTTGGGTTAGTTAAAAAGAGCTATTCTTGGGCTACAAAAGTTATATTATTTAAAGTTTTGTTAGATTCACGTGTCGCTAGTAGAGCGCTTTTTTCGACATTCCGACAGAAATGGTTAATTTTCTCAAAAAAATTAAATGCATTGGTAGGATTTTTTTTCCATGAATAATTAGCTAAATGATGCCTAAACAAGCTCGCGAAAATCGCATCTCGATATCTTGTTTCTAACCTAAAATTTAAGCCATCTATTATTTGTCTTCTTCAATAAATTTCAATATTTTCAAAAAAGGTGTTTAATTTTTGATAAAAAAAAAGAAATCTAGAAAAATTAGTTTAAAAAAAATAAAAATTTAAGGAATTTCCGTATAGTATAATTTTCTTTGGCCTTAATTTTAGGTTAGTAACAAGATATCGAGATGCGATTTTCGCGAGCTTGTTTAGGAATCATTTAGCTAATTATTCATGAAAAAAAAATCATACCAATGCATTTAATTTTTTTGAAAAAAATTAACCATTTCTGTCGGAATTTCGAAAAAAGCGCTCTACTAGCGACACGTGAATCTAACAAAACTTTAAATAATATAACTTTTGTAGCCCAAGAATAGCTCTTTTCAACAAGCACAAGTTTATTCAAATCGGCTCAGCCGTTTCGAATATACAGGGTGTTTTTTAGGGAAACATTTAAATAACACTCACTACTTTATTTTTAGAGATACAACAAAAATTGTTAAACAAAAAATGTTCATATTATACTCGACTTTAAAGATCTGGTATTTTTTTGTTAGGTTAATATAGCGTAATTCATAGAAATATCACTTTTTTAGTTTCAATATTGCAGTTACACCTCCTAACGGCCATTTGAGAAACTTGAAAATATTTTCCAGATTTTTCTCTTAGCGTTTTTAGTAATAACTTTTTTTACCGCAATCCTCCACGATGCATACTTTCCCAGATACAATCCCTCGCAATCTTAATTGCTCACCCTGTATATCGAATTAACAAATCGCTCGTTGTAGGAGACTTACTGGAGAACCGATGGTACCGAAAGCGTACTTCGGTCGGATGATAAGTTTAGAAGTTTCTTTTTTTTTGAACTTCTGTATGGCTATTTCGATACCTTCAATCACGTTGGCTTCGCAACCTTCGCCTACTGCGAACGAAACGTCCCTTTCGTCGAATATTTTATCTTCGTATTTACCGACGATGTGAACTGTAATAAACAGGAAATCGGGTTTGTTATTTGCTACATTATTTTTCGAACGAAACCACACAATAGATAATTGTGTCGTTCATTGTAATGGCGAATTAACTTCTTGTTTTTAAGTTTCGAGAAACGAAGGGTTTTAGTAATTGACGTATATTAAAATATACGCAAATATTTGTTGAATTTTTTGGGGTGACAAATCATTTTGAAGCTCTTGACAAATACTGTACAATCCTGGAATATAAAGTCAATATCTGCACCCATTACAAAATGGCGGAACATTTAATAAATACCTGAATATAAACAAATTATTATCAATTTTTCTAGAATTATTTGTTTTTCTATGCCAAATAGCAATCCCAACAAACCGATAAGGTTTGACAGGTTATTTTTGGTTAAAAAATTCCAAAAAATTTAAGTATGTTCACATTCATTTTGTATTATTTTCGATTTTTTAATATGCTTGGCAACGCCGCTGCATTTTCGGCAGCAGGAGAATTCGCCTATTAAACGCCGTGACAAAAGCACGGAATTTTGTATCTCGATGTTAGTTTACAATTAAAATTTCTTTCAATATAATAAGTGTACAATCACTTTGGTCCTTCGAAGCAATCTACCACAAACCAAAGTATGACAACGAACATTAATTGTTTAGTCAAAATATTCTCATTTAGTTTTTGGTTTTCCTAGTGTTCAAAATATTCTCTTTAATTTTCTATTTTCCTGTTCAAAATATTTTCATTTAGTTTTCGGTTGTTTAGTTCTCATTGTAGTTAAGTACGACGTGAACTAACTCTAAAATGACCAATTCTCGTCCATTGGAAGATGGAGCATCACCACAATACTCCAGACAAATAATGAACTATTTGAATGCTATTTTCCCTGGTTGTTGGATTGGTCGTCGAGATCCTACGGAATGGCCAGCCCTCTCGCCAGATTTGACACCTTTAGACTTTTTTTTATGGGGCTATTTGAAGCAAAAAATTGTACGAAACTGAACCTGCTTCAATATTGGATATACGAGAAAGATTTACAGATATTTGTAGAAATATCGACGTTACTATGTTCGAAAATGTTCGGATAGGCTGTTCTTGTATCAAGAAGTTAAAGGCAACCATTTCGAGCATTTTTTGAACTGAACTCAGCTTATTTCCTCAAATTACGACATTAAACATCGATGTATTCAGGTAATTATTAAATGTTCCGCCATTTTGTAATGGGTGCAGATATTGATTTTATATTCCAGGATTGTACAGTATTTGTCAGGAGCTTCAAAATGATGTATCACAAGACCCCCCTTTCCATTTAAATTTATTTCCCAAGATGGCGCCCAGTCGCCATCTTGAAATTTTCATCTGTCAATTTTACTCCAAAATATAATAATCATGCATTAGTTTCATTACACTAAAATTTTAATTTTCTAAGTTGATCCGTTCAAAAAATAGAAGGGTTCAAAAAAATAAATTTCAAATTTATGGAGTTACACCACTATTACTTTGATCGACAGAATTATCTATTACCTTCTACTTGACCGCCTTCGTTGGGACTCGAATACGCCTCGCCTGCTTTGATTATCACCCTTTCGATGCCTCCATCTTGGTTGGGACTCAGATCTTCCGCTTTCCAATCCAGCACTTCCACCTTTTAAATTCATTGAAATTAAATTCTTTATACAGGGTGAGTCATGAGGAATCGTACATAATTTAACAGTGTATAGAGGGCTTTTCACGGTAACCGTCCATTAGAAGTATCTCAATAATGAAAAGACTTAAAAATCTGAAATTTTGATTATTGTATTTTTTTGGATAATTTGAATTAAAATATTTTCATCTTGATGACACATGCGGTTATACCGGAAGTTGACACCAACTTCGTTATTTTATATGAAAAGTGCCATTTTTAACTTCATTTTTGAATTCTATTATCTTTTTTAACTAGACTTTGATAATAACACCATATGCCAAAAATGCACCATTTTTATGATATTACAATTTTTTTGATATTTTTTGGAAAAACAGTCGAATGTATTTTCTGTGATATCTGTGTTAATAATGCAGCTAAAAGCTTGAAATTGAGTATCGATGATGTCCAGACATACTACTAAATGAAACTAAACTGTATTTTCAGAATCCATGTACAGGGCGTTTAAAATTGTCTGAAAAACTTGGCCAAATTAAAGTGGTCAAAACTTTGTTATTTCAAATGGATCACCTTGTATTTTTTAATAGCGACCAATGCAGTTTTTTAAGCCCTTTCGATCCATATGGGTGTTCCCTATACCCACATCCAGTAGTTTTTGAAATAATCCAAGTTTTATTAAATAAGGTATGAATTTTCTTATGATTTATGATTTATTGTTTACTTATTGTTATGTATTTACTGTTCACATTTTTTTTTTAAATTTTAAATAAATAAATATTCATTTCAAAGCCTTCTAACAGATAATTAAATTTATTTATCAATTATTAAATCGCAGAAATTAGTCTATTTTTTTTTTTGTTTAAATAACTCGTGAAAGGTAAAACATAGAAATAGGACTTATTGTACAAAGTTACCTTAAAAAAGTCTGTAGATTTTAAAAATATGTTAATATACAGGGTGCTCCATTTGAAGAAATAAAGATATTTGATATTTTTTAATCTTAACTGTTCGTACTTTTTATACACACCCTGTATGCAATAGAGAGTATTTTTTAAATCGATTCAATTATCTTTAACCTTAATGGTAGTCACCTCACAGAAACCATTTCATTAACTCCAAGGGTATACGTGTAAAAAGATAATTTATAAGGGTCTGCAACTGTCAATTTTTTCATAAAAAAATATCTCCAAAAGTATACATTTTTTGAAAAAATGTTTTAGACAAAAGTACTCTTAAATTTAGCGTAGAATTTTTCAAAAATACATAAATGTTTGGATTGACATAAGGCCATCAAATGGCCAACTATAAAACTCAAAAAAAAAGAAAATTTATACCTTATTTAATAAGACTTCGATTATTTCAAAAACTACTGGATTTGGGTATAGGGAATACCCATATGGATCGAAAGGGCTTAAAAAACTGCATTTGTCACTCTTAAAAAATAAAAGGTGATCCATTTGAAATAACAAAGTTTTGACCACTTTAATTTGGCCATGTTTGTCAGACAATTTTGAACGCCCAGTACATGGATTCTGAAAATAGAGTATAGTTTCATTTAGTAGTATGTCTGGACATCATCGATACTCAATTTCAAGCTTCTAGCTGCATTATTAACAAAGATATCACAGAAAATACATTCCATTGTTTTTCCAAAAAATATCAAAAAAATTGTAATATCTTAAAAATGGTGCATTTTTGGCATATGGTGTTATTATCAAAGTCTAGTTAAAAAAAGCCATAGAATTCAAAAATGAAGTTAAAAATGGCACTTTCCATTTAAAATAACGAAGTTGGTGTCAACTTCCGGTATAACCGGAAGTGTAATCAAAATGAAAATATTTTAGATCAATTCAAATTATCCAAAAAAAATACTATAACCCAAATTTCAGATTTTTAAGTCTTTTCATTATTGAGATACTTCTAATGGACGGTTACCGTGAAAAGCCCTGTATACTTTTACCAAAAAATTAACACCATAAAGATAAAAACAAAAGAAAACTTCATCAAAATTCACAAACCACCCTGTATCTCCTTAGAGAAGAATCGGATGGAACTTTTAATAGTCGTATAATATTTACCTTAAGTCCCTCTATACACTCTTAAAGTATATACGATTCCTCACGACTCACCCTGTATATACAAATACAAATGTACTTACATCGAACTTAAGCGTAGCATTGGCTGGTATGGCTGGGGGGCTGCCCGATTCCCCGTAGGCGTATTCGGGGGCGCAGGTCAGAATGGCCCGTTCGCCTTTCTTCATCGTACCCACTCCGATGTCCCACGCTTTAATTACACTGCCCTTTCCCAAATCGAATTTGAACGGTTCGTTTCTGTCCCTGCTCGAATCGAACTGGGTCCCATCGGTGAGGGTGCCCACGTAGTGCACCGATACATTGCAACCGGGATGGGGGATCTCTTCACCGACGCCTTCTCGGACGATTTCTTTGGTGACTCCGCCGTCTTTGTTCGGGGTGATGTCCATGGGAGCGCCGGTTTCCATTCGAATCGGCCCGGTGTGTGATTGAAAATGTTTCTGTGTGGAATGTTCTGGAAAGTTGGGTTATGTTCAACCGGACCGGAATGTAGATTGGAAATTTACGAGTGGCTGGACTTGTTCTAACTGCGATCGCTTTCGGTGATAGATTGTAACTGGTTCGTTAATTTGTTTTATTGCGGTAAACGCGTTAGTTTTGTTATTTTGTTATCAATAACGAGAAATTAAAAATCGCGTGAATTGACGTTTGATGTCAGATGTCAAATCTCAAATCACAAATCACGGAACACGAAGGTGTACGATTTTTCCGACACAGAACGCACATTTATCGAATGTTTTTAGTATGTTTTTAAAATTATCCAATCTAACTAATAAATAATGGAATTAAAGGAATCGTAGATATATATTTACAACTAAAATAAAACAATATTCAACAATTCTTCTTCTTTTTTTTACTGACCTCTATCGGTTGTTCATCGAAACTCCGAGGTAGTGAGCGCCATTTATGAGCGAATAAACGAACTGTATTTATGTGGGAAATTTGAATATATCGCTTTCGACTCATTTCTAACTTACATTTGAACTACTAACATCAAACAAAGTAATTATTTCAATAATTTTTTGTCCAAATACCAATATTAATATCAATACGAGTTGCACAATTCTACCTGAAGGAGAACTAATTATTACAAGTGGCTGGACTTGTTCTAACTGCGATCGCTTTCGGTGATAGATTGTAACTGGTTCGTTAATTTTTTTTATTGCGGTAAACGCGTTAGTTTTGTTATTTTGTTATCAATAACGAGAAATTAAAAATCGCGTGAATTGACGTTTGATGTCAGATGTCAAATCTCAAGTCACAAATCACAGAACACGAAGGTGTACGAATTTTCCGACACAGAACGCACATTTACCGAAATTAAATCGAATGTTTTTAGTATGTTTTTAAAATTATCCAATCTAACTAATAAATAATGGAATTAAAGGAATCGTAGATATATATTTACAACTAAAATAAAACAATATTCAACAATTCTTCTTCTTTTTTTTTACTGACCTCTATCGGTTGTTCATCGAAACTCCGAAGTAGTGAGCGCCATTTATGAGCGAATAAACGAACTGTATTTATGTGGGAAATTTGAATATATCGCTTTCGACTCATTTCTAACTTACATTTGAACTACTAACATCAAACAAAGTAATTATTTCAATAATTTTTTTGTCCAATTACCAATATTATTATCAATAAGAGTTGCACAACTCTACCTGAAGGAGAACTAATTAATTTATTTCGGCGTTGCCGAAGTCATTAAACCCTACTTACATACCTTTTACCCTGCAGATAGTGTAAGTTAGGGTTGCACCGAGTGGGAGCGAGGAACTTTTCGAGCGGTCGAGTGCATCTCAAAGTCAAATAAACCCGCATTAAATATATGAAAGACACCTGCTACACCCCCGACGCTGCTTCGAACCACTTTAGAAGCTTTTAAGTGTAACTCTCTAACTTTATTTACCTACTTTAAAGCTCCTTTCTATTAACTTTATAACGTAGAACGAGAAAAGAGAGTGCACGGCGGTGCGGAAGAACTTGTTTTTTTTTGTATAATTGAATAAAACTCGAACGGATATGCCGGTTGTTTGTATTTAAATAGGCGAGTGCATTGTTGTATATTAGTGCGGGTAAATTCCAGCGTTTCCGAAATGAAAGTTTATGAATCAAATATCGGTAATTCCCCCCATCTGGCCTGCGACTTTTCGGTTATTCGGCGAGATTTATTCGCGGTCGAGGCGGCGTTGCCGTTCCGCGACATTTATTAAAACGTCAGATAATTTATGGCGGGCTACGAAATTACACGGCGCGTTTTCTCGCCCTGTTACCGGAAATGAAATCGAAAAACGGATTGTACTTTAATTTTCCGCGCTATTTTCCACGCTTATACAGGGTGGCCCAGAACTCGCGCGGCACCGGGAAATGCCTTATGGAAACGACAATTGAGATGCCAAAACTGCAGTCGAAAACGTGAAAATGTTTTTCCTTTGGTAAATAAAGAGGTTTAAAATTGACCAATCCCAGTAGGAATTCAAATTTACGAAAATGACGTTAATTTGCTGTACACCATAGACCTATTAACTATGGACGCGGTTTAGACAAAGAGGTAGTGTTGTCGATGAATGAGAGAGATGCAGCTAGTTTGGGCATTTGGCAATGAGAGATTGGACAATGCATTAGCCAATAGTAAGAAAGCAAAAGACCACGTGAGTTACGTTTTCAGATATGTAAGGTAGCTGGGGTAGAGGAGGGTAGCTTATGGTAGAATATGGTTGAGGATTTATTATTTTTTTACCGAGCAAAATGCATTTTTCAGCTGAGCCTAAATTCCCACGCATTTGCAAATACAGTTCTTATTTTGTATTGTTATTTGGAACCTCCTACCTCCTCCACCTAACTGCTTTCTCTTGTAAAAAATATGTTTCTTCCAGGTCATTCTTCTGTCCAAGTAGATACCAAGATAAAAACAATATTTAAATATTAAGCGTATAAATAATTTAACTTAAAATTTAATTTAATTTAAATATATATTTCAAATAGAAAAAACAATAAAAAATCTTACTTAATACCTATATAAATTACAAATACTGTTGAAAATGATGACCATTGGCTTGAATACAATATTGACACAATTTTGAAATTCTTCGTAAAGCATTTAAAATTATGATAGGATGATCTTGCAAATGTTGAAAAGCTTCTTTTGGTCCCGTAAGGTGGCCCCCGAGGTCTCCAGATTTATCAATTCTTGATTTCTTTTTGTCGGCTTTTTTAAAAAATAGAGTTTACAAACATCGACATAGGACAGTAGAAGAGCTTCGTAATTCGACAGAAGAAGCTTTTCAATATTTGCAAGATCATCCTATCATAATTTTAAATGCTTTACGAAAAATTTCAAAATTGTGTCAATATTGTATTCAAGCCAATGGTCATCATTTTCAACAGTATTTGTAATTTATATAGGTATTAAGTAAGATTTTTTATTGTTTTTTCTATTTGAAATATATATTTAATGATAGAAATTATCAAAGCCTATCTCACTGCCTACCTGTTTATACCATTTAATAAGTACAAAATTTTACGCCAAATATAACCCGCCTACTTATAATAAATGTATAAAAGGCAAAAATTTCAAATATTTCGCTAGGGTTAAATTTTAAATGTTAACATATATACATTTTTGAAATGCCCATAAAAAAAGGAATTGATTGGTCAACTAATATATAGGGTGTCCCATTAAAAAAAAGGTATGTTTATATTATAACATAAACACTAAAAGTTTTACAAAAAATCCGAATAGATATTTAAAATCAGCGTAAAAAACTCTATATAGAGCGGTTTTTTTATAACGATAGGATGAATAATAAGCGAGATACAGAAAGTGCCTGAATAGGGCGTATTTTCAATTTTGCCCTGTATAAGAAAATCTAAGTTAACTATGATACTTTTGAATGTGGCATCGTTTGTTTCATAAAAAAGTATGACAGGAATGTGAAAACCGCATCCTTCTATCTTCAGTATTAACTGAGATACCGGGCAAAAATATCGAAAAGTGGACACCCTGTACACCAATTTTGACATTATATTGAAAGATTCTATGTCCTTTTTCCTTTCAAGGTTAACATAAGCTGCCAAAATAAGCTGTAATTATTTGCTCCGTGTTTGTAACTTTTTTAACTGAATGTGTCTTTTAATTCATAACTTTTTGCACTTTTTTAACCTGACCTCTGTACGATAATTCGATGCAAGTGAAAATAGTTTAAAACTTTTTGCACTCGTTTAAAATCGAGTTAACCCAGTTATGCTGTCATTAGTGTCATTTATGAAGTTCCTATATAACCTCACCTCACTTGGGAAATATGTTGGTTTTGTTTCGCTTTATGTGTTCATCATTAACATTATTATTATTATTTCAAAAAAGTTTTATTTGATCAAAATGGCATACCACGATATTAAAAACATTGAATTAGAATATTGCAATGTTAAATTCGATGTGCAAGTTGATAATGAAACATATCAACAGTTGATTAACGGTAAATATTCTTAAACAAAATAGTAAATCCATGATGTTTTCCAATATTTAATAAATAAAAAACGATACGTTCCCAGCAAACACTTTAATGTAAAATAATTATATACAACTAATGTTGATATGATGAAAAATCGCACTGGAGTGTGTTCCATAATTATTATTTCTAACTTTTTAAACTGACACCACGTGATCAAAAAACTAAACTATTTAAACTGTAACCAGTTTTAATTATCGTACGTGGCTATTGATCAAAGATTTGTTTTAAAATTGAGCAAAAAATGAATCATTCGATTCGAACCACATTTGAAGCAATAAAGAATTCTGTAGGTTTGTTATCAGCACGACGAAGCTCCTAAATGATTGATTTGGAAGCAAATCTTTAATCAATAGTAACAACTGATTTTGGCAGCTTTTGTTAACAACCTTGAAAGTGTAAAGGAAATAGAATCTATCAATAATGTCAAATTGGTGCATATATACCAAAAGAAAAACTTTTTTATGTTTTTGGCTTCAGTTTTGGCATCTCAATTGTCGTTTGCATAAGGCATTTCCAGGTGGGGCGTGAGTTCTGGGCCACCCTGTATATTGATTTTCGTTGTTATTTAGCTCTGTTTATAGCAATTATAAAGGTTTTTTTTTTGTTAGAATACAAACTCTGCCATGTAAAGGGCGCCATTTCAGGGTATTTTCAAATGGGAAAATATAAGTTCAGTAATTCCGGTAAGATTCAAATTTGGCTTCATCAATTGATTTGAATCTTTCTTATACCTAATATAGAGACTACAAGCAATCAAATCTCCTATTTTTAATCTTTCCTACTTCGTTATATATTTAAGAAAATTGCAATCAAAAACTGACATTTATTTGCAATGCTATTTAAATGGCAAAAAGTAATTCTAGTAAGACTCGAATTTCATTGAATGGATGTTTCAATAATTTTAGTAGGATGAAGAATACTTATTACAGATCGATGTCTCCTAGTTTATATTGATCCACAAGCTCTATTAAATTGAAAAAAACTATTTAAAGTATTTGAGCAAATGATGATGAAAGATTCCTGTAAAATTATGGTGTCGAATGACATAAATGTCAAATCACAGAACAATTTTGTAAATTTGACAAACGACAGCGTTGCCAGTAGTTTCCGTTTTTCAGAAATTTTTGGATAATTTG